GCCTAAAACTAGCCGTTAGCCCATTTACTACCCTATTATTACCCCACTCATCATCACTAGTCAAATATCTAATTATTATTATTATCCATAACCCCCCACTTAAACCCTTACTTACTACCCTAATTATCACCCATCACTACCCTACTAAATGTCCAACGGACACTTTTGGGGATGGGCTAGCTATAAAAGGAGGAGAAGACAAGAAGAAAGGGGCATCCATCCATTCACTCACTTATACACACATGGGAGGACTCTCCCAAGCACTCTTCCTACACACTTGAAGACTACTATCACTCTCCCACAACTACTCTCCCAAGAAGGCCTCATTCCACAACATACCAAGAAGGCTCCACCACTCATCCATACAAATGGGAGGACTCTTCCACACCATTCCATCACTCTTCTTTATATTATTATTGCTATATTATTAGAAACACAACACTTTGTGTAGAGAATAGCCCTACAAGTATGTACAAAGACACCTACAAAATATATAGTGGAGTTAGGCTTGGCACCGCCCAAAAAGGCCTGTGGTTTTCCTTTCGGTTTCCACGTCAAAATCATCGAGCCCATATTATTTTAGCACACATTTTTATTGAAAGGTGAATCCACCGACCAAGGTTGTGTTGGACCCCCTTGGGCCCGAAAACCCAAAAACCAACACCTATATCTATTTTGGAAAATCATTATCTATTTGCATTGAGAGTTGCATGATATTTGATTTCCAAAGTTGTGAGAAGGATGTTGCATGAGACATATCTCTATGTATCTATTGTGAGACAAATAGGTTTTTTGGAGGCCGTTAGGACTATGTCCTTTCGGAAGAAAAGTGAAAGAAAGAAAGTTTGAGAAAGAAACGGACATTGCGGTCCGATGTGAGTAACTTGGTCGATATTCCTGGGTTACTAGGTTGGATATTATCCGCCGGGCTTGGAATCCCCGGTTAGGGGGTGTGCACATTGACAAGTACGATACCTGATTCCACAAAGTTTGAGTTTAGAACTCGAGAGAGTGGTTCTGTGGGCGAGACTGGTATTAGGCCGGCTAGATGCCTGAGCCCGGACAGGTCCATTCACACATGGTGAAGTTCCTGCCTCGCCCATGTTTAAAGTTGAGAATGTGAGTCTATGTGACTCAAAGAGAAAGAAGAGAAAGTGAGTCTGTGTGACTCAAAGTGAACGAAGAGAAAAATGGATTTTGTGATTCAACAGGAACCTCCAAAGAAAAAGTATATATTTTTGAGAGTGAGAGTATATATTTATACTTATTGCATCTTGGCTTTCCCTTTCACTTGTTTTGCATGTGTTACATTTATATTATGTCGAGTTGTATGTCTTGTTATTGCTTATTGTTTGGCATGATAGCACGAGTTTGTATATTAAGCTATGTTTACTTGTAATTGTTAAAGCATGACTATTGTGTTGATTTTATGTTGACTAGGTTGCAAGCACATATATTTGTCTATGAATTATGGAGTTGTTGTTTAAGTGTTGAAATACTTATAACTACGTGTGTATGCTAAATGATTTTCAAAACCTATATTCTATAGTACTTTACAAGGTTGAGTGGTTTTATACTTAGCTTCGTCCTAACGAGTTTATTTTCAAACTGTTTTTGTAACCCCTTTCAGGTGGGCGCAGTTGTTGAGCGCGCACGAGTAGTTATAGTGCTTAGATGAGATGTTAGATCTTAGATAGTATCTGTTTGAATGTTATTATCTAGATACTGATGTTTGATGATAGTTGTTGTTGACTCATGACTTAGATGGATCTTTTGTTGGTCTTGAACACCGGGGTTGAACCCCAAGCTTTAAATTTTAATGAAGTTGACTTGTTTAGTTTATTTTTCCCTTTTTAGCCTATGCAGTCACCTCGAGTGGTGACTGTGGCGGTAACACCCGTTGGTTGGTTTTTAGTTGGCTTAAGTTCTTGAAATCTTTCTTATTTCTTGTTTAACTTATCTTATTAAGTAAAGTATTTGGGAATTTAGATTAAGAAAAATGGGGTGTTATAGTGGTCGTGCGTGCCAGCCCCGACATTGGCATACCATAACGGTGATACGAGGCCCGTACTCGCTCACTACCTGATAGAATAACCTATTTTTGGGTTATTACATATACGTTGGTCCGCCCAACGACCCATTATTATATTGAAGTATTTTTACGATTGCGAAATTAGCTCGAGTTACGATCGACGGGCCAATTTTGATTTAAAAGAAACATATATATTGCTTGCTCAATGCATTCCCTAAGGGCCGGCACGGGATCCGTACTCGCTAGGTACATGACGGAAGAACCTTTTAGTGGCCAAGCCCCTGACTCGAGCACAGAAATGTTAACATCCCCTAAGGGACGGGCGCGGGACCTGACGAAATAACCTTTCCGTGGCCAAGCCCTCGGTTCGGGCATGGAAACATTAACATCCCCTAAGGGCAGGTACAGGATTCGACCCCACTAACTACCCAACGGAAGAGTCGACCTTCGGCCAAGCCAGCGGCTTTGTTGAAGTAAGCTAACTCAACAACAAAAAAAAAAAGAGAAAATTTCAATTTTAGTCCACTGACTATTGGAGTTGTGTTAATTGCAACACTTGACTTCCAAAAATGTTAATTTAGTACATTGACTATGCTATTTCTATCAATTTTGGTCACTCCAGCCAAATTGCCGGCTAAATCTCACCAAAAAAAATTGAATTTGCCAATTAATCTTTAATTTCAGGGGTAATTTCGTCTTTCTACCACAGCCAATTAATCCGATCGCCTTCTCTGGACGATTCGTTGCTGCATTTCCGCCGTCGCTACCTTCCTCGTCGACATGCTCTTCTCCGAAGGAATGGACCCATTGGGAACAACTCTTGAATGGCAGAGAGCAGTTGATCACTAGCAAAGCAAGATCCAACAAGAGATTTAGTAATTTGTTAACGCCCATAAAACACAGACAGAGAATTCCAAACCAAAATGACCGGAAAAATGCACCAAATCCTCTTCCAATAACACAAAGATGCAGGCCAACAGTTCCACTCTCTAATCCGCCTCTAACATGCAATCATGGATGTCAGTACAATCATCCTATAAAAGAACCATTACAAAATCAATGTTCCTAACCAAGTCGTACACTGGGATAAAACAACCATTATGGATATTCGCCGGTTTGCTGCAACTCCTTCGCATCGAGTCGGCGTATAGTAGTTGTTCTCCTGAGTCTTGGGAAGCCCGACTATCGAAACTCTGCGATTGCGCGAACCTCGATTGTCCTTCGACTTCGCAAACCTCTGCGAACTCGAATTCGAACTTGAGTTCAAATTCGGGTTCGGGTTGAGACCTTTGCCGGACTCCTTACGCTCCAAAATAAGCGTTGCGGTCGAACCAATCAAACTCCGCATCTTTCGATATCAAGAAGGATTCCGGTAGAAGATCTCGAGCCACTCTCTTTTCGTAGTCGTCGACGGAATCATCACTTTCGACTCGACCGTCTGCCAAGGTTTCACACGCAATTTTCCAGTCAGTCTGCAAAGATCAACTTGAAGCATTGTTGAGGGAGAAGGTCATCGGAGAAGAAATCGTCGCCGGAAATGGAGAAAAGCTCATCGGAGAAGAAAGAAAAGAGAGTAAAATGACTAAAATACCCTCATTATTTGACCTATTAAATTTTTCTGGTGAGATTTGGCCGGCAATTTGGCCGGCGTGACCAAAATTGATAGAAATTGCATAGTCAAGGTACTAAATTAACATTTTTGAAAGTCAAGTGTTACGATTAACACAACTCCAATAGTCAGTGGACCAAAATTGAAATTTTCTCAAAAAAAAAAAAATCATGCGAGCAAAATTTAATAAGTGACCTTGCGTCGCTCGGACAACTCGCTCTCGGACGTAGAGGATTCAGATCATAGATTAAATCGCAAGGCTAAAAGCTTAAAAGGTGTTGGAATAAGCAAAATATTTCCATTCAAATTGATCTTGAAGCATTCATCCAAGCATGGAGCCAAACGTTTACTCTCTCTCATTGTCAATTTCTCGCAACTCAGATAGTGGGGGACAGATGATGAATATATTGGAAATGACCAAATAATAGGGTCCAAGAATATGACTCGGGTGGCCCAAGGAGAATCTGGAGCCCGTCTCTGGACCCATTAATGATGGGCATTGACTTAGTCCTACGACCCACGACATGGGCCTTGGCTTAGCCTTATGGCCCACCGTGAAATTAGCGAGTTAGTGTTTTGAATGCAAATTAGCGAGTTAGTTAGGATTATTTTGTATAAATAAACATGCATTTGTCCTATTAAGACATCACAATCTATCTTGTCTAAATTATCCCTTTTAATAGCTTTGTTGGAATCCTTTGTAATCATCTACGAGATTATAATACATACGATATTGTCCCCGTGGCACATCTATATATTGTTCTTCCATTATTCCATCCTCGTTTATCATCTGCTACGTTATCCTTTACAACTAATATCTCCTTTATTAATCGGGTTTAATAATTCGAACCCCCGGATTAATTAAATTCTTCAAGGGGGTAATGAATTACGGAGTACAATTCAACGAGAGATGAAAATTGTGAGAACAAAATGATAATTTAATTTCTACTGTTTGGTTTGTAAGAATATAATTATTTAACATTTCAATTTCAATGTTTGATATCCATAAGAATTGAAATGAAATATGTAGTATAAATATCAAAACCCCCCATACTTGTTATAGTAGACAATGAAACATTAATTTTAGGTTTGTCTAAAGGTATCTCTTTTTATTCCCAAAAATCATAGAATTGAAAATATTAGGGGTAGACATAAGATTATAATTATATGAAAATAAGTAAAATTATAATTCCTTCGACCAAACCGATTGAAAGATTTTATCTTATTAAGTACTTCTTTATTTATTTATTTTTTTCATTTAATCTTTTTTAATTATAATTTTACCAATAAGGTTTTTATAATAATGTCAAAAAATTACTTTTGTAGACCAAAAGTTACCCCAGCTCTCAGTTCACGGCACAAAGAAACAACAAATTATGGAGTAATTTTTGTGTTCCCTAAAAATTTTACAGAGCGAAGACAATGAGCTCCGGAGAGCAAACACGGCGGAGGTCATGCGCCGCCTGTTTCACTGCGCTTTGTTCTTGCTACTGTACGCTACTTTCCTTTCTCCCTAGAAATTATCTTCATAATATATATATTAATCTGCGGAGTAACAGTCGAAATGATTAAACTGGCTTGCCAATCGTGAATCGTCGGTGTATTTTGTGAAAATCTGGTGTATCACTTGAAAGTTAGAAACCTAGAAATTTCTACACAAACTATTTTATTGTATACATTTGGTTTTGAAGTTATCGTTCAAATTTCACCCTTGCTCGATATTGTTCACAGTTTAGCATCTCCGTTGTTGCCCGATAGCTATGGCTTGGTTAGGTTGTATGAAATCGAGTTTAGGTTAGATTAAGTTTGGATTGGATTTCAAATTTGATATTTTGACCCTTTATTTAGTTGATAGTATGCAATGGCTTACACTCTTACAGTGATCGGCATCAATGGTGGGGGATGGATTGAATGAAGATTAGAAGTGATGGTGGATGAAGATATTGATTAGCTAGTGGTAGTGGCAGTAATGGGAGGTGGAATGGTGGATGGATAATTATGACAGGGAAGCATGTCATGAATGTCCGTGGTGGGTGGAATTACAAGGCTGTGGTGATGGTAGTATTGGTGGTGGTGGATAGGTAATTGATGGTAGTTATTGATGAAGTTTAATTTATTTTTTATGTTTAGAAAGTGTCTTCCATTTACTGAAACCTGGATAACACCTTTTTTGGTTCGTTTTAAAATTCGTTGTTCAGCTGTGAAACAATGTTTTCTAATTCCAGAAACAGTTCATTTTGAACATACAACTTCATTTTCCATTTTCTCTTTTGTAGTTTTCTATAAAACTCAAGAAATTTCATGATGCTGAATAGGCCCATAATATTGTTAGTCTATGTTTTCTCCTGGTATAATTTCAACAAAAAGAAATGATAAAATTTGATTTTTTTTTCCATTGTTGTAAAACTTGGCCTAAGCACTAAATGCCCCTATGCTGAGTCGATTTTGCCGTTAATTGCCTTTCTAGTCGGGCTGTCCATCTAGTGAACCAATTAGGCTTACTCAACCATTTATTATAATTACTTTTAGGGTTGTTTTGCTCAAAATGACATAATTTTTAGCAAAACAACCCTTAAATGAGAAGAAGCTACATCGAAAAGAGTAGACAACTAAAGACAAGGAGTAAATCAAACAACTCTTCAAGCCTCAATTGCCCTTCAACCTTCACCAATTTCATTGATCGCTACAAAGCTCGTGGTGAAGCCCGTTGGTCTTCTTTGAGTGGTTTTGAGTCGGGTGGATGTCCCATTATCCTGTCACCAGCTCCCTACTCCCGAGTCTGCGAAGGTGTTTGAGCTGGCTTGGGAGTAACAACTGTAGCAACTGTAGATTCCTGAGTAACTTAGGAATTTAATCCCTCATCATATGGGAATCTAGGATTCTCTTTACATATGTATATTCTTTTATTTTACCAAATATTTTCTTCCCTTCCTCTTATTTCCAAATATTTTTCTTTCCTTTTTTTTTTTTTTAATGCCTCCTCTTAATATAAACCCTACATGCAGTAATTTTGATCACTCCTTTATCAGTTCATGTCAGACTCTTGTGCTTGATAAGTTTTTATTTATACTTTTTACGCGGGGTTTTGACTGTGTTTTGACCGAGGTGGGGTGGGGCCGAGGCGAGGCTTCAGACCGTGATCGAGACAACCTTGGTCGTGGGTGAGGCGCGACTGTGCAGCCTCGGCCTGGCCGCTGCGCGAGCTTTTTTTTGCTAGAGGGCGGCTTGCCTCTGAGTGTTTCTGCTTGCTTGTTGACCAGGTTAGTTTTCCTGTTTTTAATGGATGTGGTATATTCAATCGATGATGATGACCTTCCGACGATGAGTATTTTCCTGATGACGACCATTCTCCCCTCTTTGATGATTTTTCCCCAATCCCTTATACTCACAACCCCTCGTCTTCTAATTTACAAGTGTTAAGGACTCGTCCATAAAGGAAGAGGCGCGGGGCCTCGCACTCCCCTCTTGATAATTCCCTTATTGCGTCCATATGACCTCAATTGGATCCCCAAGATTTGGAGGATGTTCGAGGTCTTGTTAGTCCTGACGTTTTGACCATTGTTCCCGAGTCTAGCGCCAATATCACCAATTCTCCCTGAGATACTTACTTTGGAGTTCACCTACTATCCATGCAATTGGGACTTCGGTTTCCTCTTCACAGCTTTCTAATAGAATTTTGAAATTGTTACGAGATAGCCTCGGTTCAACTTGTCCTTAATGGCCACCAAGCGATTGCTGGCTTTGTTTCTTTATGCCGAGAGAGTGAGGTAGAGACCACATTAAGTCTTTTCCAAGCCATGTTTTTAGTTGGTAGGTCATCTTTTAATGTGGGCTCTACCTCCCCCCCCCCCCCCCCCCAGCATAAAGAAAGAAAGCCATCAATCGTTTGTTGGCCATTAGGGACAAGTTGACCCGGGGCTATCTCGTAATAATTTAAAAATTCTATTAGAAAGCTGTGAAGAGAAACCGAAGTCCCAATTGCATGGATAGTAGGTGAACTACAAAGTATGTATCTTGGGGAGCATATTCCCGAGTCTAATGCCAATATCACCAATCCTCCCGCGAGGCCTCGGCCACGACTGAGGCGGTCTCGGTCACGGTCTGAAGCCTCGCCTCGGCCCCACCCCACCTTGGTCAAAACTCTGCGTAAAAAAAAAAAAACTTACCAGGCACAAGTGTCTGACAAGAATTGATGGAGTGATCAAAATTACTGCGTGTAAGATTTATATTAAGAGGAGGCATAAAAAAAGAAAGAAAATATTTGGAAATAAGAGGAAGGAAAGAAAGTATTTGGAAAAATAAAAGAATATATATATGTAAAGAGAATCCTAGATTCCCATATGATGAGGGATTAGATTCCTAAGTTACTCAGGAATCTACCGTTGCTACAATTGTTACTCCCAAGCCAGGTCAAACACCTTTGCAGACTCGGGAGTAGGGGGCTAGTGACAGGATAATGGGATAGGCATCCGACCCAAAACCACCTGAAGAAGACCAACGGTCACGGAACGGAAACATTTATTCCAGCACCAGCCTATTCAAGACAAGACAATTATGGTGAATACCACATTTAATATAGACTCGGCTCCCCATTACTGTGAAACTGTTACTTGAGCAAAAGAACGTTGGAGGCACTAATATAAGTAGGACGGTAGGAGACTCTTCATTAAGTAGGACACGTTGAATATTTGTACTGAAACTCTAAAGCAATACAACTTGTTTACTTTCCTAATCTTATCTAGTAATATATTTAGCTGATCTCAAACCAAAATGCCCATTGAGTCATGAGTGAGGAAGCATCGAAGCCCATTGTCATAGTCTACAACTCGCCATCTCTGGAGTCACAAAGAGATTTTACCGTTTCATACTTTTCCTTTTGGCTTGAATGCTTTATCGCTGGAGTCTAAGACTTTGAGGCTTTGAGTTAGCTAGTTAGGGTTAGACTTTTAGGGTTTGAGCTAGGGTTAGGCTTTAATGCTTTATCAATATTGCTTAAATGCTTTTTATTTTATTAAATGAAGGAAAAAATAATACTCCGTAATATTTTTACTAAGGCACCTAGGTGCTTGCCTAGGCACTAGGCACCCATCCACCACTTGATGGGCGCTGTGGGCGCCTAGAGCCTTTTACAACCTTGTTTTTTTGAGTTTCATTTTGAAGTTTGATAGACTTATGTGTTGTTGAACTATTTATGATATCTGAGACTTGCTTCTTGTTAATTGTTCGCTTATCAGTTATGCAACCTTAGTTTGGGGCAGGGGGTGACTAGGTGAGGGAGCAGCTATATTATGTAGTCCCTAGCTTAAATGAGCAATGGTTAGTAAGGGAACTAGAGAATTTGACAAAATGCCTAAGTTCTTGTAGTGCTTTTCAGACGGTCTTTAAGCCATGATAAAATGATGTGAAGCTGGGGTACAATGTTTTGTATATTTTTCATTCAAAAGCTATGTGGGATATACTGTAAAGAACCAAGTACATATAAATCTATTGCAAGAATGTGGTAGCATGAAATGTTACCAAGATTGCACTCTATCAGCTACATTTGTTGTTTGGTTCAAGTTATATAAGATAACCAAGGTTATATTTTGCTTAGGAATATACGATTCTCATGTTTGGTTCAAGTTATGCAATTTTTCCCGGGAATGTAACATAACCTCCTCATAAGGTTTTTAGCTATTGCAAGGGAATGTGAGATACTCTCCCTTTTCTTAGATATTCTCACATTCCCTTGTCTTATTGCTAATTTTGTCGTTTTAATTCATTGCCTTAGTTAATTATTGTTCAAGCTCTTAGTTAATTAATTTTAAATCATTTACTTCTATATTTTACCATTGCCTTATTTTATTTATTTTAATTTTAAAATTTATTAAAATAATCATCATAACATAAAAAAATAACTCTTCAACCAAACAGATTTATATTACATACCTTAGTTTTAAACCAAACACAGTAATCTAACATTCCCAGCAATCTAACATTTCCTAAGGTAATATAACATTCCGTGAACCAAATGCTCCCTTAATAATTGGATAATGACATTTGACTATTTGATCATTCGAGAAATACTGAAGTAATAAGAGTTGGACAATGCCACTTGAGCATTAGAGAATACTAGAGGAACATTATTCTTTCACATATGAGTTCGGTGGCCTGGTTTTGAAGAAATGCCATAGGAAATCTTTAGTGTATGCTGGTTTATCATAATTTAAGTGATGAATTAATAAGTGGTCAGTGATATCTTAAATTGATAGTGTCAGAACTGGAAATGTTTGATTTGAGCTGGAATAGGAATGAAGATAAAGGATAAAGGGTCAAGCTGCTTCAGATCATTGCTGCGAAAAGATGATTCAGATTGTGGCTACGGTCTGGTTTCCTGCAGCGAGCGCATAAACTTCTGATTGTGTAAACTGCAACAGCTAAATTAGACTTCTGGATCTATATTTGGCTAGTGGTTTAGTAGAAGAATAGAGCATGAAATTTTAGAATGGGATTTCTTCTGACTTGAAGAAACTGAAATATTTGCTCACAAAAAACAAAAACTTATATAAGCAATCGGTTATGATGCTTAAATCAGCTTGTCACTGCCAACCGTATCTTCAACTCTCCTCTTGTGAAAATTTTGTTGGAATATTTTCATCCATGAATTGTTTACTGACCTCATTTCATGTTGCTTTAGTAAACAAAATATCATTGCAGCATAGCAAGACCACTAGAGTGATAATTTATTGTCAAATTGAGAAGAAAAACTCTGAGAGTGAGAACCTTGAAGAGGCTAATAAATATCAAGAAGACCTCATTGCATGCTGTTAGAGTACAGGGTTGGGAACAGAAAGGTAAAAAAAGGTAAGGGAAAAGACAATATGGAAATCAGATTTCAAAAGGGGAAAAACAAGGGACCATGAGGTTCCCTCCTGCAAGAAAGATTTCTTGTTCAGCTGCTAGAGCTATTATTTTCAGAACTTATTGGATGCCTTCCCTCCTAGGAGAAGGTCTCAATTTACTCTCTGTTACAAGGTCTAAATGTTGTAATTAAGCAACAATAATGCTAATCAATAATTCCAGACTTTCCTTGAAAGATGCCTTGATTGTAAACTGCTGCATGATTTAGGTTAATTGATTAATTGTTACTCCGTACCATTTACGTGTGTACACTATCCACTGATTACGTTCTTTATTAATGCTGCATGCCAACGAAACAACCTTGTCCACAAGGTTGGAGTTTGGAAATTGGCCACGAAAATCAGCAATATCAACCCAAGTAGTGTCATCCTTTGGCTGGCCCTCCCATTGCACTAAAACCTGGGTGTTCCCACTCTGCTCGTGGATTGCCAGAACATCTTGGGGAATATACCCTTGTTCATCTATTGATATCCCCGGGAAGCTTAGCAAAACTGGATACATGCCTGCCACACTTCGAAGTTGAGACACATGAAAAATAGGGTGTACCTTAGCTGTAGCAGGTAGTGCAAGCTTGTATGATACTGTGCTTAACTTTCGCACAATAGTGAAGGGACCAAAGTATCTTGGGGCTAATTTTTGGCTGATGCGCCGTTGGACTGATGATTGGCGATGTGAACGAAACTTAAGTAAGACATTATCACCTTCAGCGAACTCAAAATCTCGCTGTTTGGCATTGGCCACCTTGGTCATTTGTTGTTGTGCTCAGTCCAAATTGTAGCTGAGTTGTCGAAGTATTTCATTTCGGTCACTGTGTTCCTCGGCCATTGCCGCCACTTTGAATTCCCCTAGTAAATATTGAGCTAATGTGGGAGGGGGTCGACCATACACACAATGAAAAGGGGTGACACCGGCAGCTCCATGTAAGGTGTTATACAGATATTCAGCCCAATGTAGGTACCAACCCCATTGTTTGGGTTGTTATGATGCAAAACGCCAAAACATCATAAATACTTCTCGAGACATCTGTTGAGCACTTCGGTTTACTTGTCCGTTTGAGGGTGGTACGAGCTGCTCATTCAAAGCTTGGTATCCAACTTTGCAAAAAATTCTTTCCAAAATTTGCTCAAAAAGATCGGTCTGATCGGGTCACGATTAGACACAATTAACCTTGGAACCTCATGTAGATGGATGACCTCCCTTGCAAATATCACAGCAAGAGATTTTGCGGTGAATGGGTGTCGGAGTCCCACAAAATGGGCGTGCGTATTTAGTGAAGCGGTCTATGACCACCCATATGCAATCAAATCTACTGGAACGAGGAAGTCCAATGATGAAATCCATGGCAATATCTTCCCAAACAACTTTTGGAATGGGCAATGGATGGAGAAGTCCTGTTGGGGCTGGTAAGTGCGATACGCACTAGAGTGACCTCTCGTGGGTGTGGAATCACTGGAATGGAATTCTCCAAAAGTTTTGGGATCCATGGCAGAAATAACGATGCGTCCTTTGTAAAAAGATGTCCATTTACTAGCTGATAGGCGGGGTAACTAGCCGGGTCTTTTCGAAGGCGTTCACAAATAGCTTGCAAGCTGATGTCACTGGATACTGCAGTGTCTAACTCAGCCCAATCCATCCAAAATGGTAGGGTTATAGCTGATAGTTCAACGTCTTCACCTTTCCTTGACAATGCATGAGCGGCCTTATTGGGCTTGCTAGGCTTATAAGTGACTTCAAAATCGTATCCTATTAACTTGGTCATCCAATTTTGTTGTGATGGGGGGGTGGTGATACGTTGCTGTAGTAGCTGTCGAAGACTTTGATGGTCAGTGCGAACAATGAACTTTCTGCCCATTAGGTATGGCCACCAATGTTGTATTGCTAAAACAAGTGCCATCAGCTCTTTTCCATATGCAGATTTAGCCACACTTCGTCCAGTTAAAGCCTTGCTAAAATATGCAATTGGACGAGATTCTTGCATTAGAACCACTACTACACCTGTTCCGGAAGCATCACACTCGATCATAAAAGGCTATGAAAAATTGATTAATTGTTACCATTCTTGTTCTTATTTTCCCTTCTTCTTACGTGTGTACACTATCCACTGATTATGTTCTTTATCACATATGCTTCTAACTCTGGAACCACTTTAGTCTTTGATGTGGCTTACTACATTATGTTTCTAATCTTTGTTTTTCTCATTTTAATGACTCTTGAATGCTTATGTGACTACACACATGGGGAATTATGATTTGGCAGCTCCAGTTCATCAGATGCAGCAATATTATAGGCTGGGTGCCCTTGACAATTGCTATGATAAATGGAGTGCTCTTTTTGATTGTTTGAGACTAAAAACTAAACAACCATCAGAAGTGGAGGTATGCTGTCAGACTTGGCATTGTTCTTAAAATATTTTGTCCAACTCTTTGCATCATTAAATTGTCCTGTAAAACAGATATAGTACTGCATTTTACCTTAAAAGAGAAATAAAGAATGAAACATCTTATGAACCTATCCATACGTTCTTTTCCTGGGAGTTCTCATTGGAACACTCTGCAACCATCAATGTATTTTGCACAAGAATATTACATTGACAATTGCCTGGATCCTTGGATTATATATACTTATACTTGAAGTTTAGATGGTGACTGCATTTAATTTATGCTTAACAGCCTGTGTGAATGGGTAGAACTTTATCCTTGCTTGGCTTTAGTTTCTGATTAAATCTCTCCCCTCTGGGACTTGTACTAGTAGCTTCTTAAACCAGGTGTAGGTTAGAGATATTTTGATAAGGTGAAACAATTGCTGTCTTTTAGCAGCAGAAAAGACCAAACTGACACATGCCCATGCCTTGCACTCATGCACTAAACATTCTGGGGGAGGGTAGACAAAAAGGGGAGCACTTTTCTCTTTGAGCTTGGTGGGATAGAAGTTTAGTCTTAGGAGCTCAAGAAATTCTTGAATACCATAAATTAACCCCTTCTGGTGAAAGCTCATTATTGTGGATTTGTGGGTCTATATTTTGAGATTCACTTGTTGACCCTTTTTAAGTGTGCTCTATATCTTTAATTCTGAAAGACTGTAAATACTGGTGAGAGGCATATTGTGGTAAGAGAGTTGTTATGACAAAAGTTTTCTTGGAACAAAATAGAGTTTAAAAAAAATCAATCTCCACTATTTGAAGTATGTTATGCTCGAGGTTGTAAAAGGCACTAGGCGCCCATCAGGCAGTGGATGGGTGCCGTCTAAGGAGCACCTAGGTGCCTTAATAAAGTATTATAGCCTGACCCAAAACCTAACCCTAGTCCAAAGCCTAAAAGTCTAGCCGTAACTCAGCCTCAAAGTTTTTGCGTCTCTAACAATTAAGCATTAAAACCAAAAGGTAATGTTGGAAATGGTAAAATCTCTATGACTCCAGTGATGTTGAGTGATAACTTCTAAGTTACAATGGAGTGGCTACTGGGCAATGGGTGATGGCGAGCTGTGGGCTGCGACGATGGGCTTTGACTCTTACTCACACGTGACTTGTCTCAATCCATTGATTAGTTGCGACGGTTGGCCGGCAATGGCATTCTGGGCAGTAAAAGGCAAAGGGAGATTTGGGTTGCTACTGGAGATGGCTTCACTGTGAGCTGTGCGGGGATTGGCGAAACTGGTTTGAAGGGTTGTTTTATTTACTCCTTGTGTCCTCGTTTGGTTTTCTCCGAGTCGGCTGTTTGTCCAACTAGAAAGGTAATTAACATCAAAGTCAACTCAGCATAGGGGCGCCTAGGCGGCGACCTAGGCTGAGTTTTACTCCACTGGTTATGCCTGAAAATGCTAGAATATGTAACTGATACACTAGAAGTAAATGGGAATTGAAAGATATAATTAAGCTGCATGATTGATTAGCATTAAGCCATTAATTCAGTGGATAGGGATGATTGAATTAATCTGTAATCCTTGAATGATATCTTTCCTTATTTAGTGCCTTATAATATATTATTAATTACTGTTTTTCCTGAGGGAAGGGCAGAGAAAAAAAATCATTGTGATAATCAGCTAGTAGCTGAGGGGCGAGTTCTATCACTTGCAGGAGGATATCATTCTTGTTGAAAATAAAGAGTTAGTTTTATCTATAGGGTTGTGTTTGTTTATGAATAGGTGTCAGTTTATGAATAGGTATTTACAGTTATGTATTTGTGTATATATGTGTACTGTGTTTCTGTATTAGAAACAGAGAATACTAATATAATTTCAGTCTTATATACATTTCCTAGTCCTTGATTCTTCATATTGCTTCCGCCTAACTGGCGGGTGGTATTATTCTCCACCCGCCAGGCCATTCCATCTTCCAAACTCAACAATTCTGATATTCCTTGAGTTGTTTTCTGTAGTCTGCAATTTAATTTTCCATTTTTGGTTATGAGTTGGTTTCCTGCCTCTTTACTCCATCAATTGGTCTAATCTACTTGAGACTTGAGAGTTAACTGCCATGTTGGTGATTGTGGCTATACAATTGATTATAGCATTTCCTTGAAACAGGAAGCTTCGAAGAAGCAGGGCCAAGCTAAGCCTCACATCTGGACTTTTCGAACACCAGAAGAAGCAACAGTTTACTGGAATAAGCTCTTTGGGCAAATTATTAATAAAAAGAAGTGATAGAAACCCGAAATACAAATCACACAGGTGGATGGCATTTCATTGCTTCTAATTGGTTAAGGTTGGCGTTATTTTTGTTTGTAGATTCTGCAATAACATTTTTTATGAATTCTAGACGGGAAACAATTTCAGTTTTCTTACTTCTATTGATTGGCGGTTGATATCGTTATGGAGGAAATCTTCACTGTAGATCTTGTGATATTCCATCTTGAAGGTATGATTTATGCTTCTGCAGTTCTGCAATAGGATACTATCACTTTTTGCAGTTCCTGTTGATATTCCAGGCAGCATTTTCTTGTGATGAGATTGCATAATGCAGTGATTTTCGCCTGATTTCCAAAATCACGTGATACCATATGCTCCATCTCAAAACAACATGCAAGATATGTCATCACGTGAATTTAAAATTAAAAAAAAAAAAAAAAATTAAAAGTTGAAATCTTTGCCTGAATCCATTCAAAATGCGTTAGGTTTCTTGTCTACATTAATTATATTAGGATTTTCACTCAAATGTTTTTTTAGCCTTGTTTGTAGAGAAATTAGCAATGAGAAAGTTGTCTTTATGTGGAGTTTGGTAGGCAGTATTCTAAATTAGTCGAAGTTTAACACTTGTGGATGAGATGATGCGGGTTTTTTCTCATTTAATTAGAGGTCTTTGGATCCTTTGAAGTCTTGCCTGGCATAGAACAAGATTAGTCTTGGTGTTTGGTCAATTGATCGCAATTGATAACCCATAGCTAATCTAAATTAGTAGAAATTTAACTCATGGAGTTGTGGGAATGAGATGACGAGGGCTTCTTTTAAACACATTTTTGGGTCCTTTAAAGATTTTTTTTTTTTTTTGAAAGCAACAAACCAAATTCCATTAGTAAATAACCAAGTCTGAGATGCAAGGCGGTGTGACAGAAACCTATGACCCTAGAACAAACGAAGAATTAATTATTTGAGTTAGCACATGAGTCACATGATTCATTGACCTCGACATGGCGAACAAACACCTTCTCAATGTCCCTAGCAATTAAACATCATTGCTTAATAATTAAACGCATACACGAATATAATTAAACACACACACGAATAATCTGATGTAATAGAGTTATAACAAGTACCGAAATTTAAACTATCAGACTCCACAATAATATTACTACGACTGTAATCTTTCAACCAAGCTAGTGCCTCCTTTACTACCGTTGCTTCCACAAGATATGAATCCCAACCACACACTAAACGCCGCCCTCCAGGCAGCTACAAACCTCCGTCACGCAACACTGCTCCATAGCCTAGCCCATCTTCAAAGAGAGCCGCATCTACGTTTCACTTCAATACCTCGTATTTAACAAGTTAAATATTCACATGTTGTAGTAGTTGCACCCTCATTCTGAGATTTTGACATTTGACGTGCGATTATTAAACTCTATAATTAATTAATTATAATAATTCTGGTGACGAAATTAATCTCCCGCATTTTTCGCCAACAAAAAGTCTTGCCGCAAATGCAAGAAAACTGACATTTTTATTAGTTTTAAACAGCCACTAATTAAAGAAATTTGTCACGTTTCTCAAAGTGCTCAAAACATCACTCCATAATGAAATATGATTTTCGAATTAAAAGGTTACGAGTTTGATTTTTGTTAACATATTTTTAATCGAGTCTGTTATGTCTTTTTAGTATGACTTATTTTTATTGTTTGGTTTGAGATCTCTATCTATTACATAAGAGTGATGTTTTTGGCTATAAGTTCTCCTTATCACCAAAAAAAAAAAAAAAAAAAAAGGAATTAATTACTGAAATTATTCCTTGAGTATAGGAAAATTACCGATTTGGTCTTTGATTTTTTTTTTTGACCAATTAAGTCACTCAACTTTAAAATCTTAGCCAATTTGGTTCTCCGTTTGTTTTGCCGTTAGACATCCGTTAACTCAGGATCAAATTGATAATTTTTCTATAGTCAAGGGACCATTTTAGTCATTACATGCACCATTTTCTCTGAAAAGTTAATTACTAAAATGATCCCTTGATTGTAGTGAAATTACTAATTTAGTCTTGAGTTAACGGATGTCTAACGGCTAAACAAATGGAGGACCAAATTAGTTAATAGTTTTAAAGGTGAGAGACTTAATTGATTAAAAAAATAATCAAGGATCAAATTGATAATTTTACTATAATTAAGAGACTATTTCGATAATTAACTAAAAAAAAATACAGTTAAAAGTCTAGGCAATTCCATTTTCTTTTAAATTCATAATAATAATGGATGTCTTCTGACTCTTCTATCTGTTGATGTTCTCTGCAACCATATTCATAATTGATTTATTATTTTTCCTAGATTTTTTATTATATCATTGCATCATGGAATATTAGTTTTGGTAAGAAAGCATGGTTGGTCTGACCATATTTTTCCATGAGAAGATAAGAATATGTAAAAAGAATAAACTTCTCTGAAGCATACTCGCTGTCACCATTAATATGCCTTGAAATGTAGCTCTGTACTGCTGTACAATAATTAAATTTTGCCTTTTAAAAATCAGTCATTGGGAGAAGGATCAAATAAGATTCTTGAATTATTCCTAAAACAACAATTAAGTCATTAAATTAAAAAAATTTACAATTAAATACATAAATTCGTAAAAATGCTACATTTGACATTCATAATATGGCATCCGAATATGACTATTAGGGTTGATGCAATTTTTTTCTTTTATTTTTTATTTTTTTATTTTTATAATTCAAAGGTGTTTTACTCGCGTCTCAGTCTAGCTTTAGATGAAGATGGCCATGGCATTGGCCACTTCATCTAGACTTGAATGAAGAAATTGGCCATGACTTTTAACTCTAAAAGAATATGACCGTAACCTTTAAAAGACGGAGACGTTACTATTTCTTTTATTGTCCCCATATTCATATAATTATTTTTACAAAAAAAAAAAAAAAAATTACAAACTCTAAAGAATGAAATATCTTGTACTACACCGCATACTTAGGTAATGGTATAACATACATATATGATGCCATGTTATCGGTTTTGACTTTTTGGTAACTGGCAAAAGATGCCAATTGTACTACTTTTACAATTTTAGGTGTTCAATTGAAAGTTTGTATAGTTTGATTTTGTGATTTATTAATTATTACTATTTTTCAAATGGTTTTGTAGTCTATTTGACCCTTGTCTAAATCGTTTTTAAGTGGTCCAATTAGCATCTAAATTTAATATTTAAACATGATTTTTAAGTTATACATTATACAAGTATAAACCCATGGAGTTAAACCCGTTGGTCTCTTTTAACTTAATTAGAGGTCTCCAGCTCAAGCCTGAAGGATATAGTTACTCTTTGGAGTTAAACCCTTTAGATGACGAGGGAAACCCACAATCACTACTCGAGAGTGTGATTATAGTCGACAAAGGATCACAATGAGGTAAACCAGCTTAAGTTGCCCATATGTTAGTTGACCGACTCAAATAAAAAAGGTCAATAGGCCGCTCTCGTTGAGAGTCAAACTTGTAACCTATGGTTACCAAGTCATCTGACTAACTTGGATGAGGTTGTCCCCTAAATTACTTTAAAACCTATGAGAGAATGTTTTGTCACCCTTTGAAATTTTATTGGCACGAACATAATCAGCCTAGGTGTGTGGATGCTAGTATATCCTGAATCCTTATTAAGAAAACTTGTGATCACCAAAAAAAAAAAAAAGAGTAAATGTCGTTATAATGATAGGATATTTAAGTGCAAGATTGGTGTTTTTGGATTTGGCAAATGGAACGTTGAGGCAGCAAGATATTGGTGACATGAACGGCTATCAACAAAATCACTTGCAATTTGCAAAGAATTGAATTCGTGTATGTATTAGTAGATTTGCAGTGGTTAGAGGGAGACAAAAACTTTTAGTTGGTAACTCATAACCCATTGATTGCGTTGTTACTTCATACAAAATGACAATTTTGAAATATTTCTTTTCAAGAAACGTTCAAATTAAAGGTGCTTTAGTTAGTGTGCCAAACTTCCAACATACCCATTAATGTGAAAACTAAATCCTCAATCTTCCAAGGAACAAAAAGCATTACAAAGTACTAACAAATAGGAGTAGTTTATAATAGGGTTAGTTCTAGAAATGGGGTTTTCACTATTCGTGTTTTCTAATTCTTATCTTTAATTCCATCACGATGGTTCCCTTACCTATTAATTTTGTTTCATATTTGGTTATCTACTAAGAAATCTGTTTGGGAGGTATCAATTATTGAGGCAAAAAACAATAAAATCTTTGCATTTTTCACTTTTCAACTGTGAATATAAATGAAGGCTCTATCTGTTTGACATATCTAACTTATAAGATAGCTTAAAGCTGAAACTTCAAAAGTTAGTAGCTACTAGTTTATTTTGAAACGCTATTTAAGATAACGTTTCAAAACAAGCTATTATTTTAAACTCTTCATGTTTATCAAACAGAATTTATATCTTATTTGTAACTTAAAATAAGTTATAAGCTCTACCAAACATAATTGAAAAGTTCAAATTGTTCAATGTATTTGAATAATGTTAAACAAGTACTTATATAATGTTCAATGAGTTAATGTCATATGAGATCCTTTGAGTAAGTCGTTTTACCACGTTTAGTCTGAAACTTTCAAATTGATCATCTGTGGTCTTTCGACTTTCAGTTGTGGTTCAAGTTAACAATCCATGGTCCAAGTTAAACGTGACAAAGCTACTATATTTGGAGGACCTCAGATTATATTAACTCAATGTTCAGTTATTGTTAGGTTACTGGGTAAGATTTGTATTTGATGTGGATAGTGAAATGAGGGAGAAAAAAGGCGTGAACAGCTGAATTTGATGGTTTTTACTCACATAATTAATACCTCATAAACGAATTTCTTAACAAAGGACTAAATTTAGACAAAATCAACCATCAATAGGTCAATTATAATCAAATTAAAAATTAAGGATAAAAATTAAAAAATGTCAATGGTTAATGGTCATTCATGGAATTAACCCTTACTTTATAATAATACTCTGTAGTAGTACTTGCATGTGAAAGTTGACCCATCCTATTAAAAAATTAAAACAATGCAATAAAACTAGTATATAATTAACATTATGATTGACGTACTACTCGTTTTAATTTATATTTGTGACGTTTTTACTATTCTTAAATTACGATATTGTATCATAAAATGTAAAAAATTCATCTTTTGACCTTCTTATACATGTTTGGTCCACTGAAAAATATTTTTTAAGAAAAATATTTTCTTTGAATTTGAGGAA